GTGTTTGGCATTGCGAAGACGAAGACTGCTATGTTTGTTCCGATACAAACCCAATTCCTGAAGGCCCAGATTTCCCACTCCCAGATTACATGCCTGACGACATTTTCCATGCTATGAAGGCTGCTGAAGAAGCCAACGAAAGGACTCTGAAATTAGTCGCAAACTCAACCAACGTGCAAACGACATAGCAGATCAAGTAATTGAAAAAGAAAAATGGATTGCTGAAACTACAAAAAATATCAAGGAAGCTAAGAAGTGGATTCGAAATGCAAATACGGAGTTTCAAAAGCTTCAAGCAAACGGGATCGTCTATTAGATGTTGTTAGAATTAGAGGGGATTTTATCGACCGTGAACAAAACTTGTATCCCAAACAGTTTCCTAATCTGTGGAAACCAATTTAACTATGTAATAGGTGGTGAGACGTTCCTTTAACAATGTTATGTTTAATTCTAATTGTAATTTCCTTTACTTTTATGTTATGTTCAATTTTGTTGATTACAAACATAATGTATTTCAAACTTATTACAAACACATTGTCAACTATATTACAAACATAATATATTGAAAAATATATTACAAACTCAACAGCAAATATATTACATAGACAAAGACAAATATATTACAAACTCAACAGCAAATATATTACAAGCATCATTATTTAAAGGGAATAAAAATTACATCGGCAATAAAACAACCATCAAAGGGTCTGGGATTTCCCATTCAGCTGGTGGGGGAACTGCGTGAATGGTTTGTGTCTGGTAGATGAGCTGATATACATCGGCATGGTAATATACTTGAACCAAATTAACAATGTCATGCATGTCTGAATCACGTGCTGCTATGATGGCATGACCACATGATATACCGAGACTGCTCCATTTTCCACATGAACAAGTATAAGCTTTAAGGTCAACAACACAAGTTGTTTTAAAATCAAACACTTCATACACATATGTTGACATGGGAGAGGATATCTGTTGGGGGATATGTGTTGCTTGCCAACGAACAAACTTTTGCATCCTTCTTTGAACCAGCATTTCAACATACGGTGTTAATACACCAGTCAAACTCCCTGAAAATTAAATACGGTTACAAAAGGTTGTTGTACAACCTATTTAATTCTTTTATATTTCATCCAAAAATATACCTGCAATTATACTTCGTTCAACAAAAGTATTTTGCATGTACTCACGAATTCCCTCGATAAGCGCTATTATCGGTACATTACAATGATTGCGCGATACTACTGAAAAGTATCGAGGAACTTCCATGTTGAGTACATTCGAACGGATGTTAGGGAAATAGGCTCTTGCCCATTTCGGATGACCGATATTCGTAAGCACTTCACGAGCATCAATGCTTAATCTAGAAAAATTTTGTGCAAAAGTTGACAACGTGTAGGATTTTAATGTTATCCAGAACAAAGTTTCCAATGATCTCCCAGAGCCTACTCTTGTGCGTAAATAGTTTTGCACGCTGTTACAAGTGTAACCACGATAAGAATCACTAAAAACATTATCTACGCAAGAGCTAACGCCATCGTACATATTGGATATGAACGCTATTTCCCTACCCTCTCCGAGACATTCTTTTAAACTCATCAGGAACCAGGTAGAATTTACCACATTATTTTCAACCGCCATACCAAACGCTATAGGGAAAGTCAGATTGTTCCCATCTTTAGCAACAGCTACAAACATTGTTTTTAGGTAGTCCCCTCTAAGAGGGACGGTACCTATGTAGAGGACAGGCAAGAAACAATGCACGAATGCATGGACCTGTAATTTTTAATAGTGCAAACCAATTACTTTAATGTACAAACATTATCAAATGTAAAGACACAAAACGGATTTGGAAAAGAATTATACCACTCATCCAATAGCCACAAAACAAGATTGGAAACGATCCATCAAATCCGTTTTGATGTGAGTGTGAGTATGCGGGTTGGTTCGCCTTAGGTTATGAAGGTAAACAGGCAAGTTGTTGAAGCTTTCTTCATGGTCAGTGTCGGAGAAACTCATTTCGAAACAATAGTAAGAGACAATTAGCAATTACTTAGTATGCGTAAGGTTGTGTGGGTTAGGGGCTTTGCACATGCGGACACATAAATAAGTAGGAGCTGCAAAGGCAAGGTCAATAATGTATTGTCTTTTCGAACAGTATATTTGTCGTTTCAAACAGTATCTCCATGTAAGGTATCTGACAATCGGACTACTCTTTGACATTATATGACTACGGTTTCATAGACTTTGACTACTACTTTGTAGCCTACATAATGTATTGTCTTTTCGAACAGTATATTTGTCGTTTCAAACAGTATCTCCATGTAAGGAATCTGACAATCGGACTACTCTTTGACATTATATGATTACGGTTTCATAGACTTTGACTACTACTTTCTAGTCTGCATAATGTATTGTCTTTTCGAACAGTATATTTGTCGTTTCAAACAGTATCTACGTGTAAGGTATCTGACAATCGGACTACTCTTTGACATTCTATGACTACGGTTTCATAGAGTTTGACTACTACTTTGTAGCCTGTATAATGTATTGTCTTTTCGAACAGTATATTTGTCGTTTCAAACAGTATCTCCGTGTAAGGTATCTGACAATCGGACTACTCTTTGACATTATTTGACTACGGTTTCATAATGTAGTTTCAAACAGTACTTATGGGAATCCACCTAATTGTATGTTATTCTTTTTTCTTATTTAAGTACTCCTATAAAATTATAACAAACTAACAAAAAACTTAAAAAAATGGCCTCCAATCAACCAACTTCTTCCAACGCAATTGCTCCGTCCAATACTCCACATCCATGGACAATAAGAGAAGTAATGGTGGTAACACGTTGTTGGATGAACATTTACGATGATGTAACCATGGTTAACCCTGATTGCTTAGAAGGTGATGAATGGACCCGCATAACAGCCATGTTTAACCTCTCGTTGGGAGAAGGAAAACACCGAACACAAGAAGATATTTTTGGTAAGTGGATGGATTTAAAAGAAAAAATCACATGGTTTAATCGATGGTATCATCATCTTAAAAACAGGTATCGTTATCCAAACAACGACGAAGATCTTTTAGAAATGGTTAAAGATCATTACATTTTGGAGCACGAGGGAAGTGACTTCGAGTATGAGGATGCATGGATCCTACTTAAAAATAACAAATGTTTCATGTAGAAGGCTCTTTTATGTGAAATGTCTTATGTAATGTTTCGTAAGGGTGTATCTCGATTTCTATAATGTTTTATGTTTGTGTTTTATTTTTCATGGAATAAAGGAGTTAATAAGTGGAGTACTAGATTTAATTAATAATCTCAGAAGTGCTTTTTAATACAAGCAATACAAATTACAAATACGGGAATTCATTGCTTTCCTACATTAATCTAAGGACAATTCAAATCAAATGTACTATTGAAATCAAAAGTAGGGTACACGCTTTCGTTCTGTGACCCGCTCCCGGATGCAAACTCATCAGTCATTATGCCCTTTTGTGTAGATTTTTTCCTCCCCCCAGATCCGCTCCCTGATCCCCTACCCGTACAATCGTTCCTAGTGTGTCCAAATTGACCGCATGTAGAACATTCTTGTCGTATGGGACGCTCACCTTGCGACGGAATACGTCCAGTGTTTCTTGGCCTACCCGGCTGACGTCTCTCCATTATGGGTGGCTTCACGGTCATCACATCATCGGGGATCTCCCACTCAGATGGACTTGGTAAGGGGTTCACAGACTCCTCGTAAGTTTTCCTCAATGTTTCTGTAAAGTAAGCTTTTAAAGCGAATTCCGAACAATCTTCGTAACGGTTCATTGTCAGCACTTTTATAACATGGCCACAAGGTAAGCCATCTATTTGCCACCGCCTACATGTACAGGTTCTTTGTTGGAAATCAACAATGACACTTTTGTGGTTAGAGCTTTTCACTTCAAATCTGCTATTTGAGATAGGGTACACCATCCAATTATTACAAGCATTCTTATTTGCTTGTATAATCGTTTCAGCCCATTGGGTGAGTGTTGTTTTAGTTTTAGCTAAAAAAATAGACATATTTTTTCATAAAAGTATTACTACACGAGTTAAGAAAATACTCAATCAACAATGTATATAAAATATTAGTACCTGCAACATTACGTTTCTAAAAACTGCATTGTTGCATTGTTGCACGAAAATACTCAATCAACATCAATATTGGCATCTTTCTTGCAAATCGTGACATTGAATTTATCGACCCCGCACTATTTGATGTCATAAGAAAATACTGATTCCCAGGAAAATGTGCCCTGGCCCATCTTTCTGGATTGATGTTTTGTAGGTATTCCCATACACGAATATTTACATTTTTTATTTTTTTCATCCCATTATCGAATTTTTTAATGGTATAGGCTTTGCATGTCTCCCAAAATAATGCGTGCATTGTATCGCTACTTCCAAATTTTGCTGAAATGTTGAAATACAAATGGATACCACATATTCCATGATAGGCGTGAGGAAATATATTTGCAATTGACGTCGCTATGGATGGAGCCCTATCAGATATGATTGTAAGGTCTTCCAAGTTGCCTATACATTCACGTAGCTTTCGAAGGAACCAGGACCACGTCTCAGTACATTCACTTTTGCAAATGGCATAAGCAACATGCATGATTTGGTTTTGACCGTCCATTGTCACTGCGAGCAACATTGTGCCTTTGAATTCACCCTTTAGGTGACCACCATCAATTATTAGGGTCGGCCTACAATATTTGATGAACGCTCGTACCTACAATTATTTTTCATTGCATTAACAAATACCAATTAGGATTCATATGTTATATTTGTTATAAAAACTAACACTGCTTACCGAGCAACCCAACGCGATAAACACGAACTCAAACCGATCATCATCGTCTACTCTTATCTGAGTAACAGTTCCTGGATTGTGCTTGACCAAGTTGTGCAGATACACTGGTAGTTTGGTGAATGAATCCTCTTTGGTACCTCTTAACATCAACAACGCATACTGTTTTGCACGCCATGCCTGTTGGTATGAGATATTGATTGGAAATTTAGAATTGATGTCCCTAACAATTTCATTGCCCCGATAAACTCTATTATAGTCTCCGGCCAATACTTCAGCGATAAAGTGGCCAAGTACCTTTTTCTTTGATTGTCGATTATTAGACTCCAAATTTGTCGCACAACATGTGTGTTGGTCAACAACTTTTGTGACTTGGAAAGCAGTAGTTGATTGGATTCCCCTTGCCCTAACCATCCATGAACAATTTTTAGCCAAACAAACAACCTCGAACCTTCCTTTGCTCGATCTGGTAGTCTTATACTGCTTACCTTGTTCCATGCATTGTCTTCCAATTGCAAGCTTGAGCAACTCTTTGTCATCAAAAATGTCTAAAACCTTAATCTCTTCACTTATATACACCCTCTGACATGGAATGTTCACATCAGCATTTACAGGACACGAAGGCAAAGGGGACATACCATGAAACATGGTATCTGAATAAATAAGCTTAGATTCGTCATCTAATTCTTCTCCGTTAGAATCACTATCTAGGCCGGATATATCCAACTTGTCACAATCCGCAAACTCGCCATATCCTTTTAGTTCACCATCATGCAAAAACGGAACTTCCTGTTTTCTAGATTCATTACCAACCTTATTCACCACGGCTACTGCTTTTTTTTTGTCAAATGAATCATTTACACCAACATCATTAACATATACACCAACATCATTATCACCGATATACTTATAATTCTCCGGTGTAACATACATAATCGGTTCTGGCACTACATTTACATTTTCAGCAACACTATGATATTGACTTTTACTTGGACTTTTAAAATTACCTATTGGGTTGTTGCTCCCTTTTCCACTTGATAAATTTGCTGCAGATGCCTTTCCTCTATCATCTATTTCGTTCGGCCAAACGCCTTCTTCAACCACCACATACACAGACACATATTTATCTCCAACGCCATTTATTACCTTCATCAGCTTTCTAATATCACGATCATCAACAATACCACAACAATAGAGTTGTTCTGGATGTTGATAGGCCAAACTAACTTTTGATTCTTCGGGAAGACCCATCTTGCACTTGACCAACTGAACAAATTCGGTGAACGTTGTGTTTTCGTAAAATTCAACACCTAAATAAAACATTCTCGGATTGTATCCCAGTGGCCAAACATATGATAATTGGGAATTAACAAACTCCCATCTTCCATCCGTAATGAGCAATACAAAATACTCGTTACAACTCATTATCTTAATTTTGAGGATAAAGAAGCTAGAGAGAATAAACTTTCCAAAAATATAAAATACTTAATATATATAAGATAGGTTGAAAACAGTAGTCAACTCTGACGAAAAAGTAGTCAAATTTAGCAACAAAGTAGTCAACTTTACCCAAAAAGTAGTCTACTCTTTTCGTCAGAGTTGACTACTGTTAAAATTAAAACAAAATAATTCAAACCAAATAATTGTTAAAATTTAAACAAAAGAATTGTTAAAATTATTGTACATATTATAAACACTCTTTTTTATACTCTATATTACAAAAAAATAATAATAATAAAAAATTTAAAAATAATAAATAATAAATTAAAAATTAAAACCGTAGTTTTTTTTGGCCAAAATAGTAGATAAAACCCCTCCAAAAAAAAAAGAAAAAAACATAGATTTTTTTGCGAAAACCGTAGGTTTCGAAAGGAAACCGTAGGTTTTAAAAAACCTACGGTTTTGAATGTCAAAAATGGGAAAAAAAAATTTATACAAAACGCGAAACAGTAGACGAAATGTCGAAACAGTAGACGAAACTCGAAACCTACGGTTTCGTGGGCTATTTTTGGCCATTTGCTAATTTTTGGCTAAAAATTATTAAATACCCCCTTAATTTGGCTAGATTAGTAATTACCCATATAATATATTTTCAACAACATAATGATATTTAATCATACATCATTAATAAAGCAAAACGCAAGTTGTTTACGTATGTCCAACCAAAGAACTACGAGCCGTAGCGTATCCTTTTTATTTATTTTTTTAATAAATATCAACAATTTAACCAACAAATTATCTCCAATATATTCATTATAAATTTAAAAAATAATGTGTTTGATACTACAAAATGCTTATAAAAAATGTTAGTAGATATTTTGTTCTCATATATTTTGTGACGTAAAAGTATTAAACGTAAAACTTACTCGGTCGTTTGATCCACAATATTTTACAAGGAAAAAATAAAATTGAAGCTGCAACCAGCTTATTGAGCTTATTTTAAAAAATTTCAAATATATATTTTATTAATTATAATAAAAGATTCAATATTTTATACGATCATTTTATAACTTTTACATGTTTTAACCAGATTATCAGCTACTTTATGGCAAACATCATTTTTTTATTAGTTGATCGTCTTTTAAGCTATTATCTAATTTTTTCAACTAGTAACTAGTTTTTCAACTAGTATCTAGTTTTCAAGCTAGCTACTAAGCAGTTAGTTTTTCAGTTATCAATTAGATTTACAACTATTTCGACAAACATAGTGTAAAATATAAGAACAATATTGATAATAGCTAAATTTCACAATTGTTCTACCGAGTTCATTCACTTTTCTCTAGACGTTTAAACAATCGATTTTCAATTTTGTTTCATTGTAGTCGCATTTTTAATTGCGGGTTAAAAATCATAACATCACTAAACACTAACCCATTTATATCGGTCAAAAATCAAATAGCGATTGCGATGGTATAGCGATTTTTTTATATTATATAGAAATTTATATATCAAAGTATTAATATTATATATAATTAATATCATAAGTCATATAAAAACATATATTAGAGTATCAATACTATTTTAATAGTATCTATATATTCGAGTATCAATACCATATAGAATTAATTGGCATGATTGCCACATGGAAACAATTCACAGCTTCACATATTAACATTCACACTTCACAATCAATAATTCTCAATCAAAATTCACAATGAAGATCATAAGCTCACACTACGAACGATTGAACTAATTTAAACATTTAAGATATTAAGCATTAAAGTTGTAATTTTGTTTCATTGCAATTCTGAATTTAATCATCGAACCCAAAATGTAGTACAAAAAACAAGGTTACTTAATCTAACATTAAACAATAATCTCGATGTAACATGAACAATGAACAAAGTCACAAACCAGAGATTTGAGTCTAACGAGGGGCCTTCTTTTTGCCAGCAATTGCAATCTTTTTGCCCTTCAAAGTCCTGCAATTGTTCTTCGTTCGCTGTCCTCTACAAGGGAGTCCCTGAATGTGGCGTACACCTCTGTAGCACTGAATTTCTTTCAATCTCCTAATTGCAAGGGCATTGAATCGCCTCTGTGAAATCAAAATCAGACGAAAACCACATTCAATCATACAAATTGGGGATTAAGAAGTTGAATTTTAGAAGGATTTGGTTTGAAACCCTAAAATCGGATGGAATGGGTAAGAGAAATCATGAATGAAATTAAATGAGAAAGGAATTCGAGCATACCAGGTCTCCTTCAATCATGTACTTAGAAACTTCATCACGAAGTATAATCAGCTCTTCTTCCGATAAATCTTTGGTGATTTTGTTCTCCATTTTGAGATCATTCAGGATCTCAAGAGCTCTGGTACGCCCAATTCCATGAATGTACTGTAGCGAATACTGAACTCTTTTGTTGTTCGGTATCTCAACTCCTCCAACACGAGCGCATCTTATGCTCAATCCACCAACCTGCAAGTTTACGATTCATTCGTTAACAAATCGAAAGAAAACCCAGTTTTATCGACATTCGTTGTTACCTTTGGAGGATTGAAAGTCGAGAATGATAGAGAGTTTGAAGCGGATTTGGATTTGAAGGAAGATGAGGTTGTGCAGATAAGAGAGAGTGAAGGTGCGACGGGTGTTGCTAGCGCTTGAGCCATTGCTGATGTACGTCGAGGACTGTCTATGGTGTGGTGAACGGGAAAGGCTTACCCAAATGTTCTCTTATCCTATTCGTTGGAAGCAACTTTCCATTTTCGTCCCTTAATTGTTTGTATATTAGCGAATTTCATACCTACCTTTTCATTTTAGAGAAAACTGCAAATTTAGTCCATATAGTATCGTTGTCAAACAAGCTGTATTTTAGGCCTGTTAATTAGGTTGGCGAGTCAGAATACATTGACCTAATCCAACCTAAAAGATATATGGGTTGGTGGGTTGGTGGGTCACGGGTTGACGGGTTGGAAACATCAACCCAATCCAACCCACATAACTCATTTAAGTATATGAGTTTGCGGGTCAAAGTGTAGACGGGTCATTTTCAGGTAAGTGTTCAAATGTGAAATTTATACGAATTATAGATGTCTCTAAATTAATTAACAACTAGCATTTTACATTGACTAGAATGAAACGAACAATCAAATATCAATCTAAGTACTTAGCATGATAACTTAATAAGCAACACATTTGAATGGATCGAAAATTGGATTTAAGATTAGGAGTGTTAGGGCACGTCGTATATTTCATTAAGGCATTAATTCATAAATAATTTTTTTATTTAAATATAATATATATAGTCGGGTTGGCAGGTCGACACACGAAACCAAATAGGTAACCTTGTTGGATTAAGTGTCTAAGGTACTAACTAAATTGGTATAATTTTGATGAATAAATATAAAGTCTTTTTTTGGGTTGCCCTCGTAACCAGAAAATGACTTGGATTGATCAAAGGAGAGAGAGATAAAATGTTTTATTAATATATATTATGTGATTAATATATTAATTAGAATTTGTTAATTAATGATTTGTTAATTTATTATATGAATAATAAATTAATTAAAAATAGGTAATAAATGATTAATTATTAATCAAAATTAATCTGGAATTAATTCGGGATTAATTCGATTTAATTAAAGGTGCAAGGGGTGAATTGTAATTGTTCAATAGTTGAACAAAAGAGGCAGTTCTACAATGGTCCATGACATGGACGGTTTGGGAGCCCTTCTTAGGGTTTCCAGAAGCCTCCTAATGGTAAATAAGGAAAAGATTAACATTGAGATTAAATCTATTATTAAATCCTTTAGATCTTGCATTGTGTAACGCCCGCAGATTCGGGCTAGTCAATTTAGAGACATTAAGTGTCAAAAATGACTTTTGATAGAAGATTATTTAGAATAAATAATCTTAACCAAGTTATAGTATATGTCACAAGGGTTCCGTACATATAAGGAACGTTGAAATCCGAGTTATAACGAAGAAGTTATAGTCCGTCGAAGTTTCGCGGCAAAACCGGCACGACGCTGCGTGACGTAAAAAAAAGCGAGTTTATGATAAAATACTTTTCAGCCTTAGAAATCTAAACAAACTTTGTATTATACGTTAAATTGAGAGCGTGCATAAAAAGAACGCCCAAATCTGACTTCGTATGAGGAAGTTATGATTTTTCCAAGATTCGGCATAGCAGTATGTAGCCCGGAGTTCGAATATTAGATCGACCGATTTTTATCCAACACAACCTAAACGAGAATCGAAGATCTCATACTAGGAGCTCAACGGTAAAAAGACAGACGAAAACGGACGTCGGATAACAAAGTTATGAATTTTTTACGGACTTTTCATGTCCCGGCCTGTTAAAAATATAATTTTAAAAATAAAATCAAAACTAGCCAATGAAGTCTAAAAGAAAGTTATAGAGTACGTCTCCACCTATGCGTGGATATAAAGAACGTCGAAAACGGAGCTCGTATGCAAAAGTTATGAATTTTA